AGTTCATGCATAGRTTGGGGAGGCATAAATAGAGAATGACTTTTGTAACACCAGCCTAAATCTAGCTTTTAAAAAAATTAGGTGCTTTATTTTTTCTATCTACATAAATAAATTTTACAGTAGAAAGTTTCAGAAGTGTGTCCAAGATACTTTGTGCATGTGAAATAACCGTAAAATAACTATTGCATGCTGGGYTACAATGGTTACCTTTATAATCCTTTCCAGGGTTTTGCACATTTCAGATCTTCATTATTTTCAGTCTAAAATTGCCACTACTGAAGTTGCTGTGGTTGTAAACTCTAGCAGTTTCTCTTCAACAAGATGTCTGGTTTTAGTAATAGAGTTTAAAGTTAGAATATCACAATTCTTTCTTGCTGCAGTGATTATTATAGAAATAGAGAATCTCATAATTTTGTGGCTGTAATGCAACTCAATCTTTTTTCTACAGAAACTCTGCTTTCAGGTTTGTATTTATTTTCAGTTTGTTTTGAGCTAGGGACACCATAAATTTATACCTTTTCTGATAACCTAAGTATTTCCAAGATCTGAAAATAGAGTCCTATATTTGTGCTCCATAGGACCGCAAGTTAAAATAAGGTGTCTGCAGAAAATGAATGCAGAAAGCATTCAACTCATCTCTGGACCCTGCTCTAGCAGTTTTTGCATTCATGTAAATTCCTGGTAATGCAGGGCCCTGTATTTTGCCATATTCTGTTCAATAACATGGGGGGTGTGGGTTACAAGTAAAACTGTGGAATTTACAGGTTTAGAAAATTAGTTTCAAATCAGCCATAGATTTTTAGCTAAATGAAACACCTGCCCACCAAACACTTTCTATGAGAGTTCACAATATTTACAAAGCCCGTGTATTTTTCTTACAGTTTAGCAGGTTTTGTAGCACCCCCTTAATCCTGGCCTCAGCTGATAGGTTGTTACAGAGACATCAGTATGGAAAAATCTGTGCTGTTCTAGTTTATCTTTCAAAGGTCTTCAGCAGTTCCAGAAGTCATGAGATCCATTGCCTACCTGAACTTTGCCCTTTTGCCACAACTACAAACAAGGAGAAGCAGTTTTCTGGGCTTGCAGGCAGCCTGTTTTTCTAGAGTGAACACAAATTAATGATTAGAATTTCAACTTTTGGCATACTTCTCATTAATACCTTCTTGCTGAATGGAAAGACGTCACTGTTCTATGTGTATTTACTRCAGAGTGGAAAAACACAAAAATAAAGACAAAATAATGGTCACAGAATTGAGTTCAGCACAAATCTTAGAGACATACGTTAGTCTGTCATAATTATGATTGTCTATTTGTTCTTGCCTTATGAATAAAAGTAAAATATAACATTCATGTTTCTTAGGCCAGATTTTCTTTCACATTTTTCTAAACCAAGCACTCCTAGTCTTTTAAATCTTCTCTGCACAGTAGGAACCAATATAGTCATGATTGTCAAATGCCATTGCAAAACTGGGTCTTTCAAATTCTAAAATTATTTTTTAAAAGTCTATTCAGGGTTCATGATGTTATGTTCCATATTCCTTACACTTAAATCCAGAGATCTGTTTCRATTATATTTTCACAGAGGCCTGTCCAGTTACTGTTTGATTATGAGGTTAGAAGGCAGCTTTGAAAAATTTGTTTCACGAATATTTACAGTCCATCTGTTTATGAATGGAGCACAGACTGATGAGAGAGCATAACACAGATGAGTCATAAACTGGTTCTTAATTATTTCAGTTTGGAGGCTTTCTCCTGTATGGTCCTGCAGCTGGTAGTAYAGACTTCTTGAATTAATTCCTTGAATTAAGGCCTTCCCTTGAATTAATCTCTTAACAAAGCTGGAGGACTTCTGGGTTCCCTTTAGTAGCCTTTTTTTGTGGGCAACTTTGTGTCTTCCAAAACAAGCAGAAACCAAAGGAACTAAGCTAACTTTGAAGCAGAAGGGCTGGCTGCAATGAAATGGCAGTGGGATCATTTTAACTAAGCAGTGTTTTAATAAGAGTACAATCTGGAAAAATCTTATTTCTAACAAATTCTGAAAAAGGTCAAGTGGCGTTTGATCTATTCCCGTTTTTTCTATTCTGAAGAAGTGTTGCGAGGAGCTGTTCTATCACACCCATTTAAAAACAAGATTTTATTCAACATGAATAAGAATGGATTTTTCTATGGATAAGAACTAGAAAATTACTCTATTTTTATGTGGGAAATTAATTAAGAAAACCAGCACTGTTAGTGCAAAACCCAAATGTTGTTCTCATATTTGAACTCTTAAATTAGTTGAACCTTATCAGGCTTKCTTTCCAAGAGTTTTGCTTTTATGGATAGTGTTTAGCAGGCAGCTTCTCTAATTTTTGCTCCATGATAAATGTTTTTGTCCAGGATCTTTTCAAASCTGACTGGAGTGTGGGTAGTAGTATCAGGCAGCTCGCTGTCAGCATATAAGGGATGCATATTGGCTGTTGTGCATACATTTGCTAGGTCACCCATGTAGASAGTAAATGGAAAGAAACTGTAAATTACAGGGTTACAAATACAGAGAGAGTCTCTTGASCAAAGATTGAGAGGTTTCTGATGTCAGCAGAGCCCTGAGATGATTTTAGTGTCCTGCTTAGTTTTGCTATTTTTCTGTGTGCTGTGAAGCAAGGCTCCTTTATAAAGAGCAAGAGAAAACCAAAGGTATTTAATAGAGAACTTAGACATTAAAGTCATAACTAAAAATTTACAGGATGCCTTGCTCTGTCATAGCCACAGACATGTGCATGCAATCGTGTTTCATGGATGTAGCTCCAATAGGAATTCTGAACCTATTAAATATAAAGTATCTCATTTCCTGGCTGTAAGGCTGTTGTAATTGGATATTACAAAGAACAATCTTGGACTTTAAAATAATGTTGGTACAGAAACTGAAATATCAAACCAGGAAAAAATGTTAGTACACTACACATTTAAGCAGTCCACTTAGGAAGAGAATGAGTATATATTATATACTAAAGAATAACAGGATAATCTCTTTTCATGGCAATGCAACAGAAAATAATTTTAAAGACTAAGAATCTAAGATTTCTGTAAAATCAGGGGTAACCAAGGAGGAATAATCTCAGTCAATGACATTCAGAAAAAATAGGAAACTGAACAGAATAGGTTCTGAAGAATTATCCATAGGCTTCAGCAAAAAAAAAAAAGAGGTATTTTGCAAATTGCTCTGCAGATTACTCTGAAACCTGTAGGCAGAATCAGTGTGACAATGCCCAACTGTATTTGCTTCTGAGTCAGAGCAAAATGAGTTGTGGTCTGAATGAAAAAGATGRAATAACAGCATGTCCTGTGTATGAGCCAAAGCTCTCAGGCTTAAATTCAACCACAGTAAATAATAACTTTATTTTTATGGAAATATCTATTTTTCACATTGTGCCTCACAGCAATCCTAAGAAATTAGTTGTGATCATATTGAAAGATGTTGCGTATTTCCCACAGTTGGTCTGAAGGAGCTTTAAGGATGTAAACAGCATCATTTGTTTCAGAGATTGAAGGTCTAGACCAAAACCAAATGTCTGCTTGGATCAAAAGCCTGTCAAAACATCTGACATTCCAGGGTMGGGGGAATTTATGAAACAGTGAAGACCCCCAGGCAGAATTACCTTTGTGGCATTGCAAAACTGTGTCTTATCTGTTAATTTTTATTTTAAATAACCCAATAATCTGTCAAAATCCTGTAACGTGTTTTTATCTCAAATCTGAAAAATCAGCTAAGGATAACTATCATTAGGAGGAGGTGATTATTCTGTACCACCATCCTCTCCTATCCTTTGTAAAGTTCTGTCAAACTAGACAATATTTTGTAATATTGTTACAAARATACATTGCTCTGGCAAAAATCCAGGGCACTATGGCTCAGCTGTGATTTCCAGCTGTGCRTGGAAGTAACTTGGAGGTTATGGGATTACAATTTGTGATGCTTTCTTCATGTCAGATCCTCTGTGGTGGCAACAAAAAATTCTTACTAGATTTCAGGCTAAAATGTGGAAAAAGACTGGAAGTAATGACTTCTGTGTGACTACAYAGCTCCTTCTTCTGACAGTGAATTTATCTCAGGCTTTAAGGAAGTCTACAGGCATTGAGAATTATGTTTAACATATTCCATATGTGCAAAAGTGAAACAGAAATTTAAAACATTAATTTCACTCACGGATGGGATATAACTCTTAATATTTCCACTTGCACCCTGGACAATATCTTGTAGCTCTATAAAATTCCTTTTTCTAAATGCAGGTGYTTTCTTAGAGCAATCCTGAAGACAAAAATACCAGTCCTTTCCCCTTGGAAATCTAGAATAATAACTCACRGAATAGAACAATAAATGTGTTATATCCAAGCAATGTTTCTGATTGAGAAAGAAAAAAAGCCTGCAAAATACAGATTTGATATTGCTGTCCAGATAATGCAAAAACTTGATTGAACACATGACTGCATTGTCATACCATRCTTGAAATTGGCAGTCCCACATGGCATAGAATATAGTCCTATCMCTGGGTCTAGGTTGATGAGAAGAGAGCACTGAACCACTTCTGCTTGAATCTGGTAAAATCTCCATTTGGGCTTTTTCCTCCTCYACCAGATTGATTTTAAGAAACACTATACTTATTATGTTAATATTTCTGAAATTAGGTGCATTTCAGAGAAATGCACTGTGCATTGTACTGCACAGAGCAATAATGCCCAGAAAATTATCTGTGTAAAATATTAAATCATATATGTCAGAATGATATTTTAAAATATACATCTTAATGAAATAATTGAAGTTATTTGGCTGCAGTAATACAGGAATAAGCATACAAAAAGAAACTCCTAAAAATTTCAGAGTGTGTTATTATTACATGTGCATTATTACACCTTCTTATATGTGTATTATCTAAAGATAAAGGCTACTCATTGTAACAATAGAAGATACTCAGAGGTGTAGAGGAACACATCTAATTTTTTTTCCTCCTTCTCTTCAACAGATTTGGGAGGTGCTATGATGGGACATGCCTGCCACTTTCCCTCTTAGTGGAAACCGATGAAGTATCTGGCAGGATCAGTTACTTTAAGGTGTGATTTCCTGCTGGAATAAGATCTGGAGGCCAAAGGGGAGGTGAGGAYTTTATTAATCTTAGCTGGAAGTAGGAGCAAGAGATCACATCATAAAACATTCTGTCAGTGTCAGCTATATGTTCCAAGAGTGGATTAGCATTTTAAAATCTTACTGAGTCTGGCCAGCAAATCTTTCCATTCTTAAAAAAAAAAAAAAAAAAAAAAAAAAAAAAAAAAAAAAAAAAAAAAAANAACATTTTTAAGTCTGTAATTTTTTCAGAAATTAAATAAAGAATGTTCACAAGGCTTGAAGTGATACTATATTGGTAGATGAGGGAATCTTGGAAATACTATATGAAGGCCTGTGGGTTTATGGCTGGGTTTAAAAAAAAAATTGTGTGTTTGTTTGTGTGGTTTTTCATTTTTTTTTTTTTTTTTTAGTGGCGGGTGGGTCTAGATCTATCAATGCAAAAGACCAATAGGAGCAATAAGCTTCGAGTTTTTCTATGTGTCTCCTCAAAACACAATAGTCAGAGCTTTTTCCTGGAGCTGAAGATTTGAATCTCTTATTCTCTATTTGGAGCCAGAGGGAGAGGAGAAAACATTGATGCCATTTCCTGAAAAACAGGTAACTCACGTCAAACACAGAAGAGCAAAAATCAAGGCTTTAATTTATCCAGAGGAGAAATTCAAAGAAGCACTTACCCCTACAAAGTTACTAAGTATTGCAAACTGGAAAACAGTGTGAATTTTGTGTCTTATTTGTTTATGAGGAGAGGCTGATGGGACATAGAGAGCCATGCTAGAGGAGAGCCAGTAGCTGAGAATCCTGAATAAGGATAGGTAGGCCCCTGACTACCTCTGGGGGGCATATATTAGATCCTCTCTCTTTTTTTTTTTTTTTTTTTTTTTTTTTTTTTTTTTTTTTTTTTTCATCTTTTTCTGTCAGCCTAGGTGTTAGTCTGTTAAGTTTGCTGGTTTGAATGCCTGAATTTCCTGCATTTTATGAGGATTGCGGGCACCTCTCAAGAAAGTGAACTTTATTGTAACACATACATCCGTGATGGAAGTAAGCCAGGTTGATCTTTTTCTGCTCTAAAAACAACTGAGGTTTTTCAGCAAAATAAAGTGCCAGTTTTTCTGCTCATTCAGCATCAGGCAGAAAGCAAACCCAAGGCTTTTTAAAAATTCAGGTGTGCGAGGTTGTGCAGAGCTCTCCTACAATATGTAACTAAAGGAATGTGAAAAGTTTTAAGCACTGGTGTCGTTTGATATAATAGACCATAGTATTGCAGAGTTTGCTGCCAAATCTTCATCAAGACAGAGACATTTCCTTTAGCAAAAGAATTTCAAGTCATGTCAGAGAAAAAAAGAGTTAAAGCAGTGAAGGACATTGCGATCTACCTAAGAAAACAAGGTCATTCTTAATCTGGATAATATTTTATTACTTTATTAGAAAAGATTAGATTCCGAATGGGTGCTCTTTTAGTAGTTGCTGATGAGTGATGCATTTATTTTGGGAAGTATAGTAATTGAAAGCATACTGTACTGACCAAATAATGTCTGTGCACAGCCAGGGAGGGAATTCAGAAGCATGGCAGATTACATTTCCAGTGAAAGTCTGGGATTTTAAATAATTACAGATCAAAATTRTTTCACTTCCCATTGGATCAGAATAGAGTCACATGGAAATCACTTCATCAGAAACAAACCAATGACATATTGTGCTTTTCAGACCACCAAATTTGTGAAGCAAAAAGAAAAAACTAGGTTTTTCTGGTACCTAGTTTATATAAATATTTTGTGGGTAAATTAATTCTTTTTAGCTGCATTAAATATGAGCAATTATGCACAAATAGTAAGAGATAATAGTAATTAAATGGAAGGACTATATTAACCTCTTAGATCTCCTTTATTTTGGAAGGGTTTGTAGCTGTCTTTGTTATTTAGAATTACTGATGATTAAACTTCAGGTTTTGGGCCCACTTTTCCCACGTGTTATGCCTGAGTTTTCTGGGTGGTCACACTGCAATTCCACATCCATGTTTCTTGAAAAGAACACGAAGGCGTTCAAGGATAAACATATGCAGTGGCAATTAAATAACCAGATGCCTACAGGTTGCTCTGAATGCTCTACTCCATCAGAAGCAGAGCAGATGAAACAGGGTTTGGTTCCTTTTCTGAAACATCTGTTGTCTCCATCTTCCTTCCATCTTCCCTTCTCCTCTTTCTTTCCTCTTCCTTTCTACAGGATGTGCTGTAGTCCAAGAGATGGCACTCTGCCATAGCAGGGTGCCAGGACACCAGCCCTAAAGCTCCAAGCTTGAGCGTGGGTAGATTCCTTTTGAAACTCCAGAGAGTTGCTCAAATTGTAGTTTCCTGATGCCACCAATATCCTGCCTTTCAGACTGTCATCAGCTGGGTATTGCAGGTGATTCCTGCTAGGGGAATTCCAGTGGAGAGAGGGAACCAAGTTACTAAAGAGTTTGGGAAATGTGTTTACCCTCCATGGAAGGAAACTGTTAGGTGAAGATTCCTCTTAGGAACCAACAAGGTTGTCTCTGAGAAACGCAGTCAGTTAAAGAAGACTGTAAAATATTTAATTCAAATGTGCTTGGCCTATCTTCAGACTCTTATCGGTAAGGCAGAAGTTGATTTTTTTTTTTTTAAATAAATAAATGTGACATAATTTAGAAGGTGTGTCCTTCGAGTAACTTTTATCCAGACCAGCACAGGGAGAGGAAATGCCTTATCAAGCCCCAGCCACCTGAGACCCACTGGGCTATTCAAGCCAAGTTAATCGGTTCTGGGCAGGGTGATACAAGCAAGATCAGCACCCCTCCCTCCCCAAAAYGAGACAAAAAGAGCAAAATCCTTCCTGTCGTGGGGCTGCTGGGCAGCTTTGCAGGGAGGAGAGCGGGAGAAGAGCTCTGGAAAAGGAAGCAACCTTTGCAGCTGTGAAACCTGAGAGAACAATGGAGGTTGTGTAGACCAGCAGTTACAGGGGGCTGCTYTCAGGGCTTGATGCCAGAGATGTCCCACAGCAGCAATCTTTTCTCTGTAATAAATTCTAAACTTCTCTTGACCCTATTGCTGCATTCTGAACTGAAATGCATCCCAACAACTGACAGGAGGCACCCCACATCTTAAAATTTGTGGGTGCACACTGAATGCCTACAGAAATGTTCTGGACAAGATCAAAACGTAACTGAAAGCATTTTCCTCTTGTTTCCAGGCTGAATTTGATCTCAGCTTGTTATTCCTGCCTTAGCCATGCACTGGAACAATGTGTCGTGCTACTCAAGTCATTTTAGGTTAGTATGGTAGAARTAGCTCTCATTTTCCCATATTCAATCCTGTATTGCTTTGTAMTAAATAATTTAGTTWGTTTGTTTGTTTATTTTGGTTTTCTTTGGTTTTGTTTTTTAGTTTGTTTGTTTTTTGGTTTGTTGTTTTTTGTTTGTTTGGTTTGGGGTTTTGTGTTGTTTTGTTTTTAATGGAAAAAAGAAAAACCCTTCAGCTTTTTACTTATAAAAGTCTAAAGGCTTCACTTTTTGCTTTTTTACAGAAATATATTTTCCTTTGCCCTTCTCCAGCTCCCTCCAAGTTGCTTTTAGAAGTGATTGCTCACACGCAGGTCAGTCTTTGTGTACATGTSTAGTCATTACAGACCATTCTTCTTGACTTTTTTGTAAACCTATTTCTCTCCATGTATATACTAAGGCCGTRGTTCTTCCAATTTTATGAATATGACTAAAATCTATTCATGTGAATACTSACATTGTTTTTTATTTCATATTGTGTGCAACAGGCTTGTGCAAAAATTGGAACCGAATTATTACTTTGTCCTCAGAGGATTACAACCTTTAGAAACATCTGCATCTTGCCAAATGAGGTATGAAATCCTGATTTACACCATCAGTTTTCTATGCATCACAAGAYCAAAGGTATTTAAATAATAACATTGTGAAACAATACAATAAATAATATAGTATTATAAACAATATTGTTCCCTGTAACATATAACAGTGGACTCCCATAGTAAGTGGCCCACAACTGTTGGATTTATATATGCAAGGATTTTTAATTTATGTTTTAAATTATATACCAGGATGGGCTGTGCATTTTTATACATATATATCTGTGTATTTAGTCTTGGGTTGTAGCCAGGACTATATAAAAAATATTGCTTGTGTAGAAGGTCTGAATGGCCTCCTTCAACAGTCATCATCAGGCAAGCATTTTCCTGCTTAATATCTGCCACCCCTCAATGCTGTTTCCTTTAGGTAACTATTTCTGGCTCACGTCACACTAGAATATATTCTCTTCATAGCCTGTCATCTATAAKKATTCATTTTAAATGAGCTAGTCACYGTGCTTATCTAATGAATGATCCAATTCTTTGGCCAGTGCAGTTTAAAAATTAGGAGGATTTACAATTCAGCTGTCTGAACATAATACAAGATATTCAACAGTGAAATAAGCATTTGAAATTCAAATTTTATGAACGGGTTCTTTAAAAGTATTTGATGTTAAATCACACTGGAAAAAAACTTTATTACACAAGTGACTGTAAGACTTTCRAATGCTGTCTGTATTTATACTGCACCAACACAAGAGAAATTATCATTACTTACTGAAGAAATAATCTCTCTTCTTTYGAGTTGGATTATACTTAAATCCTAGAAAATTTTTACAAAAGATGAGGATGAAAGCAAAGGTCAGTGAAAGATTTAGTCCTGTAATGTGGTTCATAGGATAAATGTTTTTTTAATGTTGACTGTATGCCAGGTCTATATTAGATGTCAGCATGACAATAGCAGAGAAGACAACTACCACAGTTTACCTTCTTTTATAAAAAYGATATTGCTGTTTGATCCATGCAGGGGTGGTGTTATTTTGTAACTTGGGTACTTTTCATACAGCCTCACTGAAGGCACTTCAAGACAAGTGCCTGTGTTGTTCATTAGTCTTTCTAGAACCCTCCAGAATTGTTAGGAGAAAGAGATKTCTACCTCCTAGGGGCAATTCAGAGGAAAGATTCACCACAGGTAATAGAATTATTCTCCTAATGAAACCCTCTCACCCTGCTGATGCACAGGACACCAACAGCATCCAGCTTCCYACTTTATTGTATAAACAGCAAAAAAGAATGACAATGTCAGGAATAAAAACTGAATCAGGATAAGTACATAAGCCTGTAATATGACACATGCAAAATAAGGCACTTAAGGCCAAATTTAGAAACCTGAAAATGCCTGCTTATGTGGTACCAATTTCTAGGCTTTCTCAGACTGTGCCGGGAGTCTGGAGCTGCTTGAGATGTGGTAATGCTGGAGAGTCAGTGCATGTCCTGTCTCAGTGTAATCCACCTACAGAAACGAGATGTTCTCTCTATTATAAGACAAATTATTTTCCTCTATTTCTGTGTCATGACCATTATTAATGATTTTAGTGGTTAAAACCATGGTTAAAAGGCCCATTGTCATTTAAATTTGATAATACAAGCCTAGGAAAGTTTTAAGGATTTATAGTTTGAAATTACTACTATGGTTGCAATAGATGCTGCACAATAACAGAAGGAGAAAACCAGTTCTCACCTGAGGCAATTGTAGAATGTAAAAAGATACAAAACCTGTTTTAGTTCAGAATGGCAGAAAATGTTTCATCAGACTCAAGAAACTGGGGAATTGGCCATGTCAGTGCTATATTGATTCCATCACTGCAGCACAGGCTTGAAGTTTCTAGTGGAACTAAATAATAAAAAAAAAGATTATGTTATTAATTTTTTTCATTTTTTCCCTTATTCCTAAGAGACATAAAAAAAAAGAAAAAAGCCAAGAAGTAGTTAGCAGAGTCAAGACAAATTGTTTTTATCTGTGGCAAAGGAAGATGTAGGTTGAAACTGATGTTTTATCATTCCTTTTTTTTTATTAAATGTCCAACTGCTGAAGAAACTCAGACAAACCTGAATGAGTGTTTAGAGATAGGACATTAAAAGATGCATATATAGCAGAGTTGCTCAACGACTGGCCAGTAATCAGAGCCTGCATTWATTCCAGAAAGTACACAAAAATAATATTCCTTGGCTCCATTTTCAAAGCTGCATTCAGAAAGTTATATACACTAATCCTGTAACAATAACAGGATTTGTGTTGCCAACACTAGAACAGCTTTGAAAATGTAACCATAAGGGTCCAATGCAGCAGTCAAAGTAATCCCTGGCCTTTTACCCTCTGAGATAAAAAGAACAATTTTGCAAAATTTTTGTCACTTAACTAAAAGTATATTCTGTACCCTGGGGAATCCTCACATGAACATTCTCTTTCTGGCTGGAGGGATGTAAGATCATTAGGGAAATGGAGGAGAAAGAACAGTTATTGAAAGAACCAAGTCTGCTTTTTAAGCAGTCTGAATATCCCCAGTTTCCYCACSTTYCCACAAAAATGTTATTGTAGAATGATTTGGTTTGTAAGGAAMTTTTAAAAGTCATCTAGTCCAACAGCAGGCACATCTGCAACTAGATCAGGTTGCTCAGAGCTCCATCCACCCTGACCTTGAATGTTTCCAGGAATGGGATATCCACAATCTCTCTGGGAAGCAGGTGCCACTGTTTTATCATGCTCATTGTGAAAWWTTTYTTCCTTATACCTAATTTGAAYCTACCYTCTTTTAGTGTAAAATCATAAATTAGCCCTTGTCCTGTAGCAACAGTCCTACTGAGAAGGTTGTAACCCCAGAGAAGAGGAGTGGTCACTTTGAGTGCTTTATGACTTAAACTGATACTAGATTTAAACTAATAAATGTAAATATGCTAGTTTACTCTCCTGCTGCCTGACAAGGCAAGGTGTTGTTTGTTCTCCTTCAATTCTTGTTACTGGAGAGTAATTACTAAGACCTTCAGAAAATTTCAGAACTGGCATTTTCCCTTTTCTCCCCAGAACATGAGCTGTGTCTAAATCTTACATGTGAACAGGAAGTTAGGTGACAGTCAGTAATTCACACAGAGAAGGAGCAAATGTGATCTGAAAAGTTTCTACCTGGGACTTTTCATTCAGAATTCCTGTTGACTTCACAAAAATGAGAGATGTGGTTTTTTTCACAGGAGAAAATCAATCCCCTGTGTTAAATATCTGTTGGAATGAGTGGATGTTTTGTATCATACTGAAAGTTGTCATTTTCTGAGGATATTGGTTTCCAGTCTTATGGTTCAGACCAGGGTTATTGGTTGTTATTATTATTTGTGACATCTATTTTAAAGAAGGACATATTTAATAACTTTCCAGGATAGCAGTATCTAAAGACTGCAGTCACAAATATCAGTGTTGTTGTGAGTCTGAATAAAACCACAATAATGTTTTCATTTCAAATTAATCAAACACAAAATCTTCTTAGCATTGTTAAAAAAAGAAAATGGCCTAATAATCAAATACAGCAAAGGATATTAAATATACAGTATCCAGATACCTCTAAGGTAAAAGTAAGGAGGGAAAATTTCCAAGACAGAGGGATTTTATGGAAAAAGAAACAATGTTATGCACTGATAAGGTTTTAAAAAACGGGGATAGGAATTTTTTTGAGGAAATGACCAAGAGGTGGCAGCACTGCTGAGTGCCTGGAGCCCTCAGAGCTATCCAGCGCTCCTTCCCGAGGACTCCACAGCCCCTTTGCTTCAAATACACCCGATAAGATGATGTCCTTAGAAAATAAATCCTTTCGTAGCTACATTTGGATTTTCTAGAATTACAGAAGAATACGTGAAATTAAATATTTTAATAGGTCTRAGAAATCCTGGTTTGACACTGGCATTCTGGGCTGCTGGCTCTTGCTGTAGTCTCACATGGCATGTTGCTGTTCCACCAAAGTCAGACAAATATGCTCGTGGCTTAATTGGCATCAGTCGGAATCCATAACAAAATTTAACAGGACTAAGACTTGCTTGATCCTCCAACTTAAGAGAAACCCAGGATAGAGCTCATGTAAAATAATCTTGAATTTAGAAAAGTTAAATCTGCAGGGCACCATTCAAACAGATTGGTTCTTTATGCCCAGACGAGTCACAATGTGATGGAAGTAAATCTTCAGGTGTTAAGATAGCAATAACTGGTTTTTTTTTTTTTTTCCTGTGGCCATTATCGTCCCACAATCTTCAGACAGAACCCARCCAGTTATGGACCCCTTTCTGATGCTGGAAAACAACATCTGAAGAATCCTTGCTATTAGCAGTGGGTGGCTGCACCATATGGTGATGCATGGTGATAGTTCAGTTCTAAATGTATATGATGCACTTCCTGCTGTGCCAGGATTGTATCTGTGGCACTCAATTTTCCTGAGACACCACCCATTTGATCCAGGCAGAGTTTTGTGTGTCCTAGAAGGCACTTGGGCTGAGAAGCAGTTCAGTGAGGGGKCAGTGGGGCTGGGAGAGGAACTCCTCCATCTGAGAAAATCCTCTGTATTGGTCTTAGCCCAAAAAGCACATTCTTAGCTGTATCTCCTCATCTATTGCTATCAGTATTACGAAAGACTCCAGTGATATTCTCCACTGCTACTGCCTAATCATGGTGCAGATTATTGCTTTCTTTGCCAAGAAGATGGGCTTATCTTACTGAGAACTGCAGGTTTTTCACTTAAACCCTTTATACCCAGAAAATACAGAAGGTGACAAGAGTTTATTTGAAAAACTGTTAAATTTAGCTGTTTGGGCAAATATTACAGCCAACAGTTATTGAGCCATTGGTTATTATCTTCAGTCAGATAAAGGCTGTGTTCTTGTTGTGATGTTGAGCTGGTTTGCCACTGATGAAAGGGTCAACTCAATTTCCCCTTTCTCATGGCCACATATTCCTGTTTGCTTCCTTCTTGCTGATTGTGTGTATTTGATCCTGCTATAATCTAGTTCCACTCACTAAACCAGACAAAATTAACCCAGCA